TGAATTTCTGAGACAATTCTTTTTGTTTAAATGTTAAAGTCTATAATTTGTCTAATTGATTAAGGACAAGTTCTGTACTACAAATGCTCTCTTTACACCTTTTACAAGAGTGGTGCGACCGTGGTAGACTTTAACTTTATTTTATTAAGCAATGCACACGCTGTGCAGCAAACGCAAAAACTTTCGATTCAATAAATGCTAAATTAGATATTCCTTTGAGGTACTTATCCCTTGCCCTCTCTCTCTTGGTTCTCTGCTCGCTCGCTCTTGGTCGACCACGCTAACCCGCACGCCAGGAGGTTCCCGAGAGAAGAGACCAAGGGATCTACGCACTCTGCGACATCTCCCACCAATCCTTCTTCGATGCGCCATCTCATCGATTACCATATGATTTACTAGACCCGCGAAATCTGATTCAGCAATTTAGAACGTGCAGAATTATTTCTTTTAACAGATTTCAAATTAAATTTATTTAATATATATTTTTTATTTTATTTTACTATTTACTTATATCTTCATCTATATATAGGATACATACTAGCCATTGTTTAAAAAAAGCATCTAAGCGTACATCAAAATCAAATGTCCGAGCGACGCTTAAAATCTTTTAATACTCAGGACAGTGGACCTTGACAACATATGTCAGGTCATTGGAATCGGAGATGGCTCCCCATATCTGCATAATTACCATACAAAAACAGTTTTACATTTTATTTTTAATCATTTATACCTATATTTTTGTATAACATTTTAATTATCTGAATGATATATGTATAATATACCTCACATAATATATATAATATTACTACAAATCAAAAATTTAAAAATCATTTTTTTTTCAATAATTGTATTGCACTTACCATGCAGTAATAGTCGTTCATGTAAATATCTCTTGCTAGTCCAAAGTCACCGATTTTTACAATACGGTTTTCACGATTTTTCGCGGATATCAAACAATTACGACACGCGAGATCTCTATGTATAAAGTGTCGTTCTCTAATAGCGACAACCTCGAGCAACATCTTCGGACATGTCTAGCAAATCTTGTAAACGCAAAGCGTGTGGATCTTCCGGTTGCAACTTTCGACTCTGTCTTAAATAATTCAGTAAGTCTCACAACTTCCATTAATTCCAATATGAGCCATGGTAAATCCTTGTCAAAGCAGATATCTAATATTCTTAGCACATGTTTGTGATCAAATTGTCTCATAAGCTTAGCCTCTTTCAAGAATTCCTCTTTCTTCTTGTAAGAAGCATCTTCTCGTAGCATTGATTAATAGCGACAGGTGTTTCCGAGCCTTCTAATTTTTTACAATTCCTTGATAAACCTGTGATATTTCATAATTAACATAATCTATAAAATACATGTTAAAAATATTTATATATAGTATTTAATTTTGTATAAAAATTTAAAATTGGCATCATTTTTATTAAAAATATACCTTATCTCAACATTTCATGATAAAAAATTAAAGAAAATCTTCGAGGAAATATTTAAAAAGATGAATTTAGATTTACCTTTCCAAAATTTACCACTGCCTAGATGTCTTCCTAAGAAAATATCTTTGACGGTGATCTGTGCAAATTCATCATTTTTAGTAGTTTTGGGTCGTGCATGGAATATGTAGTTGAGTAAAAAATTTACTTATAAACTATAATATTTTGTGCTTAGATTTGTTTGACTGAATTACTTTTCAACGATATATGTGTTAGAGTAAAAAATAAATACAAAATATTAATATTAAGTTTGAAATACTACGAGGGACGTCACCGTGCAATCATCTTCTATTTTTTCTTTATATGTATGCACATGCGCGTAGCGCACTTTTAGTTTGTTCTGTTTTACAGACGCACAGAGTCGAGCACATTTTCTTTGTGTTAATAAGTTATAGAATGTTCTTTTATTCCTAATAATAAAGAGGCTGTCCTGTTTACTTAATAGTGCTTTTATTATTTATCTGCGGATCTGAACACGTAGCTCAAGTATCTTAGAAAGATGAAACGTTTTTCGATAAGAATAAAATAACTGTAATAAGTTTGTGGCCCCAGTGTAATATTCATCTTTGTTTGTAAAGTGTAGTTTAAAACTACGGAAAGATGGATCTAGCGAAGCACATAAATCATTAACGGGAACTGAATTGGCATATGTGGAAACATAAATCAGAAATCTGCTCGACTACATAAAAATGCACTGGACGTGATCGACAATAAATTGATGAAACCGAACCCTTAAGAGCAAATACTACGGTAGTTCAAATCAAACAACA